CTGATGGATCATGACAGAAATGTTAAAAGGCAGGGGTGGGGGATATAGTGTTGGAGTGGTTGTACTTTTGTTTAATAAATGGTAAGAAAGATGGAAGGTACCTAGGAATTGGCAGAGAGCATGTATAGTCCCCATTATATAAAGGGAAAGGGACAAAAGAGACTGTAAGAAATTTAGAGAATAAGCTTTAATGAGTATACCTAGGAAAAAGTGTACGGTAGGGTTATAATTGAAAGAAATTAGAGGTAAGAACAGAATGTAGGATTGCGGATGAGCAAATGAGGTATTATAGGAGTGGGTAGGGTATGTGTAGATCAGTGTTTACATAAATAGCAAATATTTGAACAGTATTTAGATAAAGATAGAGGAAGTTTTTATTGCATTTATGGATTTAGAAAAAGGCATATGATAGAGTGGATAGAGAGCAATGGGCAGATGTAGCAAGTATATGGAATAGGTGGTAAGTTATTAACTGGCTGTAATAGATTTTTTATGAGGATAGGTGAGGCCTCAGGTTAGGGTGTGGTAGAAGAAAGGGAAGACTACTTCCGCGGTAAAAAGTATGTCTTAGACAGGATGTGTAGATGGTCCCATGGTTGTTTAATAAAATTATAATGGGGTTGTAAAGAAGTAAATGCTTAGTGTTGGGAGAGGGGTGGGATTAAATTATGGGAAGTCAATTCCAAAATGGGAATTGGGGGGGGACACAGTTACTTTTTTGCTGATGATGACTGTGCTTATGGGGAGATCAAAGAAAAATTGCAAAGGTTAGTGGATGGTTTGAAGAATGTGTGTAAAGGTAGAAAGTTGAAAGTGAACATAGAAAAGAGTAAGGTGATGAGGGGTGTCAAATGATTTAATCAAGAAAAATTGGATATCAAATTGGGAGAGGAGTAATAGAAGAAGTAATGTTTCAGATACATTGGTGGAGTTACGTTCGGCGGATGATTTCTGAAGGATGAGGTTAATCATAGAAATTTGATGAGGGAAAAAAAAGGTGAGTGGTTGCATTGAGGTTATATGTGGAGTCAAAAAACGTATATCTATGGAGGCAAATAAGGAATGTATGAAAGTATAGTATACCAACACTTCTTATATGGGTGTGAAGCTTTGGGTGGTAAATGCCCAGCAGCGAGGAGACGGTTGGAGGCGTGGAGATGTCCTGTTTAAGGGCAATGTGTGGTGTAAAATATTATCAGAAAATTCCGAGTGTGGAAATTAGGAGAAAGGTGTGGAGTTAATAAAAGTATTAGTCAGGGCAGAAGAGGGTTGTTGAGGTGGTTTGGTCATTTAGAGAGAATGGATCAAGTAGATGACAATGGAAAGCATATAAATCTATAGGGGAAGGAAGGCGGGGTATGGGTCGTTCCTCGAAAGGCGTTTGGAGAGAGGGGGTAAAGGAGGTTTGTTGTGGGTAGAAGGGGCTTGGACTCCAGGAAGCGTGCGTGAGCGTGATTAGATAGGAGTGAAATGGAGACATGGTACTTGGGACCTGACGATCTGTTGGAGTGTGAGCAGGGTAATATTTTTCAGTGAAGGGATTCAGGGAAACCGTTTATTTTCACCATAGTCGACTTAGTCCTGAAATGGAAGTCACAATGCCTGCACTTTAACCCTTTGAGGTTTTGGGTCGTACTAGTACTCTTACGCGTAGGGGTTTTTGACGTACAAGTACGCATAAATTCTATCGGCCTCTAAATCTTCTCGCAGGAAAAGGCTGATTAAGCCTAGATGTGAGAGAATGGTTAGGTGTGTGTGGTGGGGGATGGTGGTTGAGGGCAGTTTAGGAAAGATAATGCTGAGGGGGGAGGGGGAGGGGCGGGACCAGTAGTGGTATGGGGGGGGACTTCTTTTCTTGTTGTGGAAAAGAAGGTTAGAAGGGGGGTGCGGCGGATCATAGTACCACAATTTCTCCCGACGTGCCCTGCGTAAGAAGTTCCCTCACTCCTCGGCAATTGGGACACTTATTTGTTCCCCAGTGACAGTTCTAATACAGATGGAAGTGACAGTGAAGATTAGCTCAAGGTTCTGGTGATGGTTTTGACGAAACTATGAATAATATGAGTAATAGTGAGGAAAAACCCTAACAACCCACAGCTTCCACCTCTGTGCTGGGCCGTCGTTCAGGGGTTGTACCAGAATCAAAGAGGAAACTCCTATTTTCCAAAATCCCAGACTCAGATGTGAGCAGTGGTGATGATAATGATAGTGATTATGAAACTACAAGCTCTTCAAACAAACGTGTTTCCAAGAATGAGGAGGAGAGGAGGGCAGCGGGCGTATTGCGGCGCCGAACGGGAGCGTAGGCAAGAGGAGGAGTGAGGCCGAAGATGAGGCTATGCCGGCTGTCGTATGTACGGCGGCCTCCGCCTCTGGCTGTCTGTCTGTCTTCCTGCCGATTCTTCTTGCATTCTGCTTTCTTCTGCGCTCTGTTCTTGTCTTCTTCTATCTTCCCTTCTTTTCTTCTTCTCCTCCTCCTCACCTACCATCACCACCCACCACGCCACCACCAACCACCCACCACCACCACCACCCATCACAACGCACCACCCACTCCACAACTCACCACCCACACACCACTCATCTTACCACCGAACCACACATAACACCCATAACCCGTTGGTGGCCCATCCCTACACGCCTCACCGTGGTCGATCACCACAGCATCATAGCAAGGCCGCGAAAGCATCCGATTACCCATGTCGTACGTGCTCAGCCGCCACCGATCTCTCAGCCCAAGCGCCACGGCCTTCGTTAAAGCAGGTATAGCTAGCATTAACAGACTGTCTCCTAGCCTGTCTGTCAAGCTCCCTGTCTATCTTCCATCTAGCTCTCTGTCTCAGATATCCACAAGACTGCGTCATCACTTTTACACACATCTTCAAGCAGAGATAAGCATCTTCAAGCAGAGTATAGCACTTTGTCCTGGGTTTCTTTGGGTTATCCTAGGTAATTTATACTATGTATGACTTGTATTTATGTGTAACCTGTGAGACAGAGATAGACGACAGATAGAATGAGGGAGAAGATAATTAGATATGAATGAGGAGGGGGAAGCACATCCGATCCCCATTGTTTTGACAGGCGGGGGGCCGGAGGGTGAAAGAGTAATGAGCCAATATTTCACTTTGGACCAGCTGCCAGACTCCTGTGTTGTAATTTACACTATGGACAGAGGAGAAAGGAGAAGGAGAAGACGAGAGAGGAGGAAGAGGAATTCATGGGAGGAGGAGGAGGAGGAAAGAGAATAAGTATGGAGGAAATTAGGGGGAAGATGGAAGAAGAGGAGTGAGGAGGAAGAGTAGGAGGAAGAGGAAGAAGAGGAGGAAGAGGAGGAGGAGGAAGAGGAAGTAGTAGGGGAGAAGAGGAAGTAGGAGGAAGAGGAAGAGGAGGAAGAGGAAGAGTATGAGGTGAAGAGTAGGTGGGAAGAGAGGAAGAGTAGGGGGAAGAGGAGGGAAGAGAAGACGAGGGAGGAGGAGGTGGAAACACTAGTACACTGGTACTGGTAACAGGGCTAACATTTCTGTCTGTCTATGTCTGTCTGTCAAGCTCCCTAGTCTATCTAGTCTATCCGTCTAGCTCTCAGTCACAAGAGAGCCACAGTGAGAGCTGTTGTCATCACTTTTACTCACATCTTTCAGCAGAGTAATAAGCACTTTGTCTGATTTTCTTGGTTATCCTGGTAATTTATACTTTGGTAGTACTTGTAATTTATTTGTGTACCTGTGAGACAGAGATAGACAGACAGATAGAAGAGAGAGACAGATTGAAAGAGATAGAATGGAGGAGAAAGATAACACCATTGTGTATGACACCATTTTCAGAGTTCCACAACTGCAGAACTAATAGGAATATGTCAGTGACTGTATATTGGTATATATAGTATAGAACAATAATTAAACAATATTTTGTATTGTTTGTTTTGTACACAAGTTTTGTAAACAATATATTGATAAATAGTTTTTGTGTGCTTATTGTGTTGTATACAACGATTGTATATATGTACATTGCACCCTTACTATTGTCTCATAAGGCCACATAATTATGTGAAAAAATAAAATAGTGAAAAAAAACAATAAACCTCAAATACACGTAAATCAAAGTTACCGGGTGACGCAGTCGCCGCTGTTGCCATACGGCTCATTTTCGGCAAACTTCATGCATCCATATCGTCCGTAAGTATTGATGGTAGAAATTTTTTTGTTTATCCTATATGTATAGAAAAAAAAACTCTATTTTTTCATAAGAAAAAATAATTTTTTTTTTTTTTTGAAATTTTGGGGGCCGACCCTGAGAACGAGTTTTCGGAGAGGGGCCCTGTCCGACCCCAAAGGGTTAAAGAGGGGTTTGGGATATTGCATTTTGGAGGATTAGTTAGTTGTCAATCTTTTATATGTGTATGCTTCTAGACTGTTGTATTCTGAGCACCTCTGCAAAAACAGTGATAATGTGCGAGTGTGGAGAAAGTGTTGAATGATGATAAAGTATTTTCTTTTTGGGATTTTCTTTCTTTTTTTGGTCAACCCTGCCTCGTGGGAGACGGAGGCCGACTTGTTTGAAAAAAAAAAAAAAAAAAAAAAAAAAAAAAAAAAAAAAAAAAAATGTCTCATAACATTTACAATGATATACAGAACAAAAATTTGTGCCTACAATCCTTCCTCCACCCATTTATATAATGATGTTAAAATAATTCATACACAATATCAATGAAATTGGCAATCATCTGAATGCTTGCCAAAAACAAAATATAACGGTTTTACTATATATTATCAATATATACTTAAAACATAAAAATAAGAAATTTAACACATGTTACTATATTCCTCACCAAATAACCTGAGGCATTTACGCCAAAAAATTTTAATAAAATTAAATACATATACTATTTTCAGCAATCTTACCATAGAATTATAATAAGGTCACGAGGTCTGGACATCATCATAGGTGAGATATTATCCTGAGGCAGAATAAACCGAAAGCAAAGTAACTTATGTTTTTACCATAGGTGTGGTCTACATTTGGTTTATACTGCTGGAAGGGAGAGTCTACAGAAGTTATACCTTGTATTAACTTCCACCTGAAAGAAAAAAAAAAACATACAGAGTACTGCTTGAGATATTCACAATGATATATTTACCTAATACTAATTTGATAAAGTCACTGCATAATATAAATTCCCTTTCATAATAATTATGAAGGGAAAAACAGTACAGTATTACAGTGGAACCCTGGATTTCATCTGGTGTGGATATTGTACAATTCGGATTTCGACTACTTTTTGGGGGCAAAATTTTACCCCGGGTTTCATACATCTACTCGGAAATCGTCCGTACAAGACTCGGCTGCCTGGGGCTGGCTCCATATTCCGTGCTCATTCCTGATTCTGCCTTTGGTTACACGTTACCTAAGGTGTCCCTTTGATCCTTAACGCCATAGTAATAATATTAATCTTTCTTTCACACATCCTGGCCGTATCCCCACCAAGGCGGGGGTGGCCCAAAAGAAAATGAAAGTTTCCAAAATTCCTCCTTTTTACATTTAAGTAATATATACAGGGAAGGGGTTACTAGCCACGTGCTCTCGGCATTTTAGTCGCCTCTTACAACACGCATGGCTTACGGAGGAAGATTTCTGTTCCACTTCCATGGAGGTAAGAAGGAAATAAACAAGAACAGGAACAAGTAAAAAATAGGAGAAAACCCGAGGGGTGTGTATATATAAGCTTGTACATGTATGTGTAGTATGACCTAAGTGTAGGTACAGTGGTCCCCCGCTTTTCGTAGTTCCCGGCAATCATAAAATTCGCCAATCATAGGGGTATTTTCGTATAAACATGGACTCGCTTTTATAGGTTGACTCGCGAGTCTAGTTCGTCCGGATGCGTACGCACGGGCATGGGCCCAGGTCGGGCACCCAGTGTGTGCATTGTTTACCAGTGAGCGAAGGGTCCCCCTCGCGTGCTCCAGCGAAATATTTCATAATATTCCATTTATTTTAGTGCTTGTCAAAGTACTAAATAAGCTACTTACCATGGCTCCAAAGAGAAAGCTCCAATGCCAAGCCTGTGGTAAAGCAGGTGAGAAACTATGACTGAATTTAAGAAACCCTCATTGAAAATATGATTGTGGTACAAGTGGTGGCCGAACTGTCCAGGTATGATTAAAAGAAACCCTACACAACCTTATTTTCCATAGTGGCCAGAAAAATAAATAAAGTATGCTGTTGTTGCAAAAGGGAGTAACTGGCTGACACAAATGAGAATCACCAGAACTGGAAGAGGTTTGAAAGTTATTATTGGTTGGATAAATGAGAAACAATTAAGCAGGAGATACTCTAATGACTTCGTTTATTTGTGAAAAGGCTAGGCAGTGCTTGTAAGATTTGGGTAAAGAAATTGCCTGCAAATAGTGATGAAGTGATGAATTTAATGCCAGCAAGAGGCTGGTTTGAGAGATTAAGAACGTACTTGGCATATACAGTGTGGTACGGCATGGTGAGGCTGCCAGTTCGACCCACAATGCGTCTGAAAAATATGTGCATGACATTCCAGGAGTACATAAACAGTGAAGGACTGAAACCTGAACAAGTGTTCAATTGTGACGAAACAGCCTCTTTTTGGAAGAAAATGCCAAAGAGGAACCTTCATAACACAGAGTGAAAAGGCAATTGCAGGACATAAGCCTAGAAAAGACAGGCTGACGCTAATGTCTGCTCTAAAGCTAGTGGTATTTTCAAAGTGAAGCCATTAATTACTAGTGTACCATTCTGAAATATCCAGAGTGTTAGGAAAAACAATTTATGAAGAGAAAATTGTGTGGTTTTGGAAATCTAATAGATAAAGGCATGGGCACAGAGGGAAATTTTCATCGAGTGGTTCAAATGAAGTGATTGGCCCTAGTGTGAAGGATTATCTCCCTGGAAAAAGAAATTGGATCTCAAGTGCAATGCGTAGTAAGGACCAAAGAAAGCACCCGCACCTGCTCATCCTGCCAAACTTGGATGACGCTAATTTTCGAAGAGTTTGGGTCATCACAGTAAAGTTCTTGCCCCCCCCGAATACCACGTCCTCTCCTCCAACCCATGGACCAGAAGGTTATTGGCAAACTTTAAAAAACTCTACACAACAGCAATGTTTCACAGGTGCTTGCTGTGACCACAGACACTCACTTGACCCTAAGGAATTTTGGAGAGAAACACGTTCAGGCATCCCCACTGCATAACCCTTATAGTATGGCTTGGGAGGGAGTGACTACCAGGACTCTGATCTCTGCCTGGAAAATTGTGTCCAGATTGTGTCGACAGAGGGATTTTGAAGGATTTGGGACTTACCCTAATGAGCCTATGTCTGTTGCAAAATCAATTGTGGCACTGGGGAGTTCCATGTTGTTGGATGTGAGTTTGGAGGATGTGGAAGAATTGGTGGAAGACCACAATGAAGAGCTCACCACTGAGGAGCTGCAAGAGCTTCAGCAGGAAGAGCAACACATCGCAGCTCAGAATCTTGCTGCAGAGGAGGAGGAAGAGAGATGGAAGAAGGTGCCTTCTTCAGAAATTAAAGAGATTTTTACTATGTGGGGTAAGATGGAAAACTTTATGGAGAAACATCACCCTAACAAGGTTGTTGCAAGCCAGGTTGGCAACATGTACAGTGACAAAGTCTTGGGCCATTTTAGGGAAGTGTTAAAGAGACGCCAGAAACAGAGCTCTCTCCACAGTTATTTTGCGAGACAGGACTCCAGTGACTCTCAAGGTGGTCCTAGTGGCATTAAGAAACAGAGAAGAGGGAAACAACCCCAGAAAAGCAAATGGTACCTGAGGTGTTGATGGAAGGGGATTCCCCTTCCAAACTATAAACAATCCACTCTCTCCTTCTCCTCCTCCTCCAGTCTCCCATACACTAAGAAGAATCTCCAATAAAGGTAAGTGTTATGCTGTTAATGTTTCATTCATCATTTCCCATTGTATTGTTTATGTACTACATGTATATTTCATGTAAAAAAATTTTTTGTTTTAATACTTCTGGGTGTCAGGAACGGATTAATTGTATTTACATTATTTCTTATGGGGAAAATTGATTCGTAAATCGTAAATTTCGTTTAAAGTAACGGCTCCAGGAATGGATTAATTACGAAAAACGAGGGACCACTGTATAATGACCTGGAATTACGAAGGCAGAAATTTCCTTCGCTTTATCCATCAAGGTACCTGACAGTAACCTTTAAGGAGATCTAACTTGACACAAAAGTATCCTTACCCACAAAGTCGATTACATCATCCAGACGAGGAAGAGGATAAGCATCTGTAATTGTGACCTCATTCACCTTACGGTAGTCTATACACATGCGAAAACCTCCATCGGCTTTTTTAACAAGGATGCACGGTGAAGCCCATGCACTAGATGAGTCCTCTACTAACCCATGCTCTAACAGAAATTCTACCTCCTGCTGAAGTAGCTTTTGTTTTTCAGGATTAACTCTGTAGGGGGAGAGTTTAATAGGTTTAGAGTTTCCCACATCTACGTTATGAAAAACCTAATGTACATTTTTTCGCCCACATCTGAAAAAATATCAGGGTATGATTGTAGAAGTGCAGTTTAAATTGTTATTTGAATTTTAGATAGCCCAATCATTAAAGGGCTAGGGTCCTTGAGGGGGACAGAGTTTGGAAGCTTGACATTAACTTCAAAATAGAGTGCAAAGAGTCAAAGTCATCCTCAGAGGCAGAGGATGTATTAAAAGTCTTAACTTGATTAATGTGGAAAGTTTTAGTTTTTGAGGTCTTATCAAGGAGAGACACCACATAATTTACATCAGATAATTTACTTACAATTTGCATAGGTCCCGTATATCTAGCTTTCAAGGTGTGGCCAGGTATAGGTTCCTGTACCAACACCTTGTCTCCTGGATGGAAGGAGCAGAATTGTACATTTCTGTCATACTTCTGTTTCATCTTGTTTTGAGCTGCCCTTCAGTTAGCCTTGGCTAACTGACATGCCACCTGCAACCTTGAAGACAGGTTGTAGTGTGTTGAGCTAACGTCTTCTCCCCTCCATCCTTCTTTGGGCACCCGAAGAGGACTTCGTACATTGTGCCCAAAGATCAGCTCAGACTATACCCGGTAGACTCGTGCACAGTTTCCCTTGTTAAAAACAGCAACAAAGGTAGTGAGTCATCCCAGTCCCTAGGAAAATGCATACAAAAAGTTCTCATCATGGGTTTTAACGTCTGATGGAATCTTTCCAAGGCGCCTTGGGACTGAGGATGATAGGCAGTGGATAAGTTGTGGATTATCCCTAACCTAGTTATGCTTCCCTAAATGCTTTGTCAGTGAAGATAGTACCTTGATCACTTTGAATAGATTTAGGAATGCCAAAACAAGAGATAAAATTGGTTAAGGCCTTGAGAATGGCTTTAGTATTAGTACTGCGCACGGGATTGCTTCCGAGTTCTAGTTTACTCTATCCATAATGGTAAATAAGTACTGATTTCCAGACTTGCACTTAGGTAGTGGACCCACAGAATCTATAATTAGTTCTGCAAAAGGTTTCCTCAGCATGTATAAGCTGAAGAGGTGCAGGTTTAATGGAATGTCCAGGTTTTCCTTCCTGCTGACATTCTTGGCAACAGCGGATATGATTCTTCACATCCTGCCTTAATTTTGGCCAACAGAATTCTTTTGTGATTCTATATAATGTTTTAGTAATTCCTAGGTAATCTAATAAAGTATTATGAGCTATATTCAATATTTGAGGTCTAAACTTTGTTGGAACCACTAACCTATCTGACTGTTGCCTACCCTCTACCTCCTTACCAGTCTCAGTGCAGATCAAATAGTCATTTTTAAGTTTATATTTGACAGGATGATCCGAAAAGGATTTACCCATGGCTGCCTGAAGAGCAAAATTCAATGAAGGGTCCTTTCGTCGTTCCTCTCGGAAGGACAGTCCCTCAGGCATGGAAACAGAGATATCTGGCAATCCTGCAACCCTGGAATAGGAAGGCTTGATCTGGGTCTGTTCACTAAATTTACGAGGCTCTGGGCACTTTTCCTCGTAAAACAAACTGGCTATTCCGAGATCAGAGTCATCCAAGGATAGGTCAGCATTCTCGCCAGACAACCTTTGGGATGTTGCTTGAGTTATGGCCAACACCGGAGAAGAATTAATCATTATGGGTTCAGGAACACACTAGAAGTGGTAATGTTATTACCCAGTAATAACATGGCATCTTTCATAGGAAATCTCCAGATACACCTACAGTCAAATATCCAGTGTAATATTTGCACTGTATATAGATTCTTTGCAAGGGGACAGAAAAGATCGCTCCTCTGAAGGCTTCAAGCAAAACAGAGGATTGTAATGAAGTGTGTTCAGAAAGAGGAAGTACTCCCTCTCTTAAAAGCGAGCAATATGCTCCAGTATTCCTAAAGGTTCTGACTTCAGTTTTCTTTGAGTCTTCCTGAAGGGAAATACAACTCTTACAATAATAAGGGGCCATCCCTTTCTCTACTTCTTTCAGGGTCATCATGTTACTAGGGACATTATAGTTTTTCCCTAATGGTTGGGGTTCATTAGGCAGCTTGGGCAGATATGACCTACTTAGTTGCACAGATAACAGACAACAGGCTTGACCCTAGCTCCCTGCTGACGTTGTAACGGGTTGTCGCTCTGGATACTGTTGTCGAGTTACACCATGTTGAGTGGTTTGTCGCTCACCAGGTTGACCATAAGTTGAGTAGCGTGGCTCACCAGGTGACTTAGTTGGCTGACGTAGACGTTCTCCTTCCGGCTGGCACTTCATCCTCCAATGTTGACGATCTCTGCTCATGCCAGGCTGTTGAAAAGAGAGATGGGACCACTCGGACAAGGAGCAGTTGGTTTCAAAGGTATCAGCCAACCTGGCTGCCTCCAATGCAGTGGTTAAGACATGATCCCGCAGAAAAGACTCTAACCTTGGTCCCACAGACTCCAGCAGGTTATCTACTAAGATGAGCTGCACTAGATCATCAAAAGGTAAAAAGCTTTGGTCTGCTGTCTCACAAAATCCACCAGGGGTTGACCGAGCTGTCGTCTGCCTAACTTGAATAACTTCCTATACTTAGCAGGAATGCATTGATATGCTCCAAGAACTGTGGTCTTCACCACTTTGTAATTGCAAAAATCAGTGTCATATAACATGATGTAAATTCCTGTGCCTTACCAAGAAAAGCTGTATGCACCAAAGACGCCAATGCTGTTCTGGCCACCTCAAGGCTCAAGCCTGATTTTTGCGTTTTGAAAAATTGTTCAGGTTCTGCCTCATTGAAGCAGGGAACCAACTGTACTGTTTTTTGTAAACTAAAGTCATTTACAACTTGAGAAAACTGCCTTCTTTTTCTCTATCAAATCCTTCCCTGGCATATCATCGCTGTTCCCTAGTCTGTTCGAGATTGATTTTCACCAACTCGAGTGCCAACAGAGCAGATTCACCTTCAGACAACCCTGTTGCACGAGA